GGTTTGAGCTGCTTCACGTCAGCATCTTGAAAACTCTAATCGAAGCTGTTTATCATTAAAACGACTTTTTTTATTGTATTATTATTACATTATTCTCGCATTATTACGACTTTATTCTCGTAAAATTACGACTTTATTCTCGTAATTTCCCCCACAATTTTTTTTTTCTTAGTCTGGCCCTAATACTCCGTCGTAATTTTCAATAAATATAAGCTAAAAATAACCGTTTTTTTTTTCTAACCTGCAAACTAAGCGCACCAGCCGCCATTATGGCTCCAAGTTGTACACGAGTACAGTGAAAGGGCGATCCTGGTCCGAGCCAAAATGGCGCCTTCCCCCCCCCTTTAAACAACCAACCAATCAAATCCACGGAATTCCCCCTCATCCAATCAAAATCCACCTGGAGGGCGGGAACTTGGGGCACCGGGAGGAGCTGAGTCGGGGTGTTGTGAATTCGTACAGCCAAAAGAAATCTCGAGTGGGAGCTGTCGGACCGATTTGTTGTGAATTTTACCCGTCGTTTGGCACCGATTACCGACGCAGCCCATCCGCAGCCATGCCCGGGATAGAGAAGCTGCCGATAGAGGAGACGTTGGAGGACAGTCCGCAGGTAAAAGGCTCTCCTAACCGCTGCAGTGCTAACGGTAGCTCCCCCTTTTCTGCGCTGTGCTAGGCTAACTGTCTTTGTAGAAAGAGAGAGAGAGAGAGAGAAAGAAAGAGGGAGAGATAGATGACAAGTTAAAGCAGAACGCTAACGGCCCTAGTTTAACCTAAAGCGGGATTATAGCAGCTGTGCATCGGGATCAAAGTGTCAAACAGAGACAACATCAGCACAGAAACAGCCGGAGACTTCCTTAGCTTTTAGTTTACACCTCCGTCCAAAGGGAGAAACTGTGTCCAAACATTACTGTCATCCTTCATGTGAATGTCACACAGTAGAGTTAGTCCAACCCCCCCCTCCTAATAATAATAAATCAGTGGTGTGTCCTGCAGCAAATCCAGGTGCACAAACACCTGCAGTGACATCAGTGATTGGGGTGACGTGCAGAGTGAGAGAACACCTGGATGTTAAATAGTTTACCTTTTAAGATTCATTCATGTGTATGTAAATTCATGTTGCACTATTAACAGGTTTCCCCCACACGCGTCCTGGGAAATTTGGATATGTAGAGGCTTTTGAAATGGATTAAAATGATTAAAATGTCCTGGAAACATGTGTTATTGTGTTTTAGACGCTCACTCTCCGTAATTTATCTTCACTGTTTTGTTAAGAAAACTCCTGGAAATGTACCCGGCCTCCCTGAACCTAACGAAAGGGTTACGAGAGGTGAAAAGTGAGTGAAGTAAATGAGACCTACAGTAGGGACGTTCGGTCATTGTGGCAGCGAAATGTGATGCACAACGAGAATGTGATATGAAATACATCTGTCTTTGTGTTTCAGGCTGTGAATCCACTGTAATACAAACACTGGTGTCTGTTTATACACTGGCAGGATCAGACCAACCCTCCAGCCTGTGGAAATACACCAAAATTCAGCCCCTCGCAGAGTTTTTGGGGATTATTGTGGCCTAAAATACCTGATTTTACTGATTTTACATTATGTTTTCTTCAAAAAACTGCCATGCGGTTTGTAATATGTTTAGGAAACTTGATCCAGTGAGAATAAAATCACGTAAATGTAAGTTTACATGGTCTGCAGTCTCGCAATAAGAAACAAGGAAGTGAGTTTGATGACTTATGCAATAGGAAACTACGACGATTGGTCGAATTTGTGGAATTTGTGCAATGAAAACTTCAAGGTCTCTTTGAATTTACAGGTATTGGTTGGATTTAATCTCTCACAATGACAGGGTGAGCTGAGAATGACAATAACACCTGAGCTGGCTGCTGCTGAGACACACCTTGAGTACAGAACAGAACAGCACCGTGTGGATTTACATAGATAGGTGTGACAGTTAGTTACACGAGGGATCAGTCTATAACACATAACGTGGTGAGGTTTTATGATTACATCACTTCTAACCTGTTTTTTTTTTTTGTGTGTTTTGTCCGTAGACGCGCTCTCTGCTGGGAGTGTTTGAGGAGGACACTGCAGCCATCTCCAACTACTGCACACAGCTCTACCAGGCCATGCAGAGGATTTATGATGCACAGGTACACACTCACACACTCCCCAGACACACGAGACTCACAGGTGAAGCGCCACTGGCTTTGCAGGATGCAGGCAGAACAAAGTAAGTGGCAGCTGATTTGGAAAGTGTTGCTCAGTGCTGTCTGCTGTTTTTCTCTTCAAGAACGAGCTGAGTGCCGCGACGCACCTGACCTCCAGACTGCTGAAAGAGTACGACAAACAGGTACGCCAAGTCGTAGCAGACACCAACACCGTGACAGTCGCCACCCTGCTGTAAGAAGAGACATTAGTCACAGGCTGTATAACATTAACCACAGTTTTATTACAGCCTTATCGCACTGTTTTATTATATATTATTTCACACAGCTGTATAAAACTAACCACAGCCCAGTTCAGAATCTGAAATACTTTATTGATCCCTGCGGGGGGGAATTGGATTACGTTACAGTTCCTAAACAAAGAGGAATTGTAAGAAAATAACAAAATAAGAATAAGAAGAATGTGAAAATATGTGCGTTATACGACACATAACAGCAATAGATGTAGAAAAATAGGAAATAAGACATGTAAACACATGTATACTACAATATATAACAGCAGTGTAATAAATAAATAATAATAATAATGCTAGTGTTAATGTGAGAGTAAACCATCTTATTGCACCTTTGAATTGTAATTGCATAATAAACACAGTTTTATAACACTATTCCCCAACTTTGTAATACTATTTACAGCCTAATTACACAAACCATCAGTGTTATCACCAGCTATAATCCTTAAAACAGAAGCCATGAACGTTAAAGCTCAACGTGTTCGCTATCATCACCGTAGCTCCAGGTTTATACACTAGATCCAACACTTTGGTCTAAAATCACTTTGACGACCTGACATTTCGTCTAGTTAACATTTGACCAACATTAGTTTTGTGACGAGGTGTCCGGTGCTGCAGCGATTTATTTCCCTCACAGGATTCAGTCTAATCCTTCACGTTGTTGATGTTGTCTGCAGCGTTTTCCACTAGGGGGCGACGATGAGGTGATGAGCTCCACCCTACAGCAGTTCGCGAAAGTCATCGACGAGGTGAGAGAGAACTGAAACACACCAGAGCTCTGTTTGCTGCCGTCAGAGGCGAGTTTGTCCCACGTGGTCAGATTTCACCATCACAATCGATTTTACTATTAATATCTGGAGAATAAGAAACACTGGTCGTCTTTTAAAGCCGCGCTGTGGTTGTTCTGCTGCTTCACGGTTAGAATATTCTCTAACTTCCGCTCTCGCTCTCTCTTTCTAGTTGAGTTCCTGTCACGCTGTCTTGTCCACCCAGCTTGCAGATGCCATGATGTTTCCCATCACTCAGTTTAAAGAGAGAGACCTGAAGGGTAGGAAACACACACACACACACACACACACAGATACAGAGTACACAAAAACAAAACAAGGGCACATACAGCCACTGGTGTTGGTAGATAAGGTCTGGCTCTGGCTTTGTGCACAGGACCATTGTCAGGTCGAAACAGGAAAGGTCTTCCACAAACTGATTGTTCCCACAAATAAAATCCTTTTCACACAAAGTCAGGATGCTGCTATTGTGGATGTTGGCTCACTGGAAAGACTCCGATACACTAAATGGTAAACAACCTTAATTAGAATCAATGGTAAAACCTGTGATCGTCCTACTATTTAATGAAAAAAAAGGCCTTTTGTTGGCTCACGGTGTAAAAGAGACCCGAACTGGATATAAGTACATAAACACAGACGGCTAAAATATTCCCTGACAGTTCTTTTTGTTTCTCTGCAGAGATCCTCACTCTGAAAGAAGTCTTCCAAATAGCCAGTGATGGTAAGTTCGTGCTTAGCCCCCACTGTGTCATCGTCCAGGTGACTGCTCCTAAGTCCCACCCACCCGTAGCTACTGTTGCTATGTTACAAGTCAGTTGAGTACATTGAGTTAAGTAATCAAAGTAGCTTATTATCTTAACGTCTTAACAACTTGTCTCTTCCTGTCTGAGCAGGTTTTTATTTTGTTTTTCTTAGAACTTGAGAGGACAGACGAGGCAAATAGTTTTTATTATTTTATTATAAATACACGTATTTGTGTCCTAATGTGAGTGAAGATAAGATGAGATGATATTTGGTCAGAGTCACTTTTCTCTCACAAGATTCACATTTGTTAAAGTTTAGTTAAGCGTAAAGGAAGATTTCGCCTTGTTTTGAATATTAACTAGTATTTTTGTTTTAATTTGACTTACTGTTTTATTTTCCTTTCGAACCTGTGTTACTGTTGAAACACAGAAAAGATAAAGAAAAACATATTTTAGGACCAAAAATTCAACGTGTGTGGCTGTTTGTGTCTGCAGATCACGACACAGCCATCAACAGATACAGCCGCCTCTCCAAAAGGAGAGACAACGACAAGGTAATCACTCCAGCGACAGAAACACTGCTCATATCGGGCTCATCATTCAGTTCTTCAGCACTGAAATGTAATTAGTTGCGTTGAATTTATAAGTTATGAAAGAACTGCTCCGTTTAAACTCAAGTAAAGTTTCCATTCAGCTGCCTGTAGACAGATATTGCTCAGCTGACCTTCTGTGAACTGACAGAAAGAGGCTTTAGTTTATGCTTCATTTCAGGTAAATAACTGAAGGTGTAACAACTGAGCCCGGTCTCTACTCTTTCTATAATTTGTACCAAATGACTCGAATTAAAAATGAGAAAAAACAGGCAGCCAATTTAGTTTATTTCTATAAAAATAAACTTGCAGAGTTACAGTAAATCAAGTTTCTGCAGATTAATTATCATAAAAATAAACTCCAGCAGCTGAAAGGGAAATGGTCAACAGAAGTTATCTGTCTTATCTGTAAATTTCACAATCCGATTATCTTGGCCAAAAGTTATATGTTAAGTTATGTGACGATACCGTGATACTGAAATAAGTCTTGTGGGTTACAGTTGCGGGCGGAGGCTGTGGAGGACGTCTACACCTCCCGCAAGAAACAGCACCAGACCATGATGCACTACTTCTGCTCACTCAACACACTACAGTACAAGAAGAAGACTGCTCTGCTGGAGCCACTGCTGGGCTACATGCAGGCTCAGGTACACACACAGCAAACTGACTGAAAAATAAGAATAACCAACGCACACTGGAAACAACTTCACTCTGGATTATTAGGAGCAAAACAACACGTTTCATTTTTTTTTCTCTTTTTTCTTTTTTTTGGGAAGTTTTTTACAAAGGTGAAAGTATATTAAAAAGATATAATATTACACAAAAATACACAAAACAAAAAGCATGATAAATATAAAACAGAGTTACATAAATAAGAAAACAGATCCCATATGCAGCTGACTGAATAGGAAATGCTCAATACCTTAAGACGGATATCCTGTAGATCCTTTCACTGCCCGTCTACACCACTAAATGGAAAGACCAGTGAACCCGAGGAAGCTAGAGGTGAAACACGTTGTTCGCTCCTGATAAATCACAGTAAAGTAATTCCAGTGTTGCAGCAGCATTTTGAGCCAAAGCTGCTTTTATTTGCTGCATTTCGCTGCAGTTGATGTAAGTTTATTACGTCTTTTTTCTTGGAACAGTTTCTCTTTTTCTATCAACATCGCAGCGCGGCAATCTGCTGTCCTTTTGTACAATGTGACACAGATTGCAAACGCGATAAACCCATAAGATAGCTGTGTGTAAGGGGCCTTAAGAGTGGATGTCATTCATAAGGATCAGCTATTCAGTTTGTTCCCAACTAGTCCCAGTCAGTTTACTCTCTTCTCTTCGTGCTTCAGTGCTACAGCAACGGGGAGAAACATGAGCCTGCTGTGACATTGAAGTGGAGCAGCCAGTGAATGTTAGATTGAACCAGAGTCAGAAGTTTTAGCTGGTTTAACTGGTTCAGAGCTGTAACCAAACCTGCTGGTGTGTGTTTATCTTTGTCTGTGTTTATTCTGCGTAGATCAGTTTCTTTAAGCTGGGTTCAGAAAATCTCACCCAGCAGTGGGAGGAGTTCCTGGGAACCATAGGAACCAGTGTGCAGAAGTAAGATACTTTCACCAAAAAGTGTCCTAAACCTTCTTATTTTGTTCTTAAATCCTTTTAAAGGTCTTAAATACTTTTTATGTACTTTAACTTTTGTGAGGGAAACGTGGATTTATTGTGTGTGTGTGTGCGTGTGTGTGTGTGTGTGCAGTGTGCGTCGGGAGATGGAGGAGGAGGTTGGACAGATGCAGCAAAGCATCCAGGAGATGGAGAGATCATGTGACCCGCTGTACGCACCCTGTGACCCTGACCCCGCCCACTCACCTGTCTGCCGCAACCTGACCAGGAAACAGGGCTACCTGTACATCCGCAAGTAGGACACACATTATATTTTAACACTTTTATTAAACAGGGACTCAAGTTGTAATAAAATGCAATTCCCCTTTTAATAAATGCAAAATCTTAATTGTAAGGTATATTATTATTTTTTAAAGCCTTCTAAATACCGTTCTGAAAAGATTTAAATAAAGTTTAACTACCAGAAGTTACTTCTAAAGTCATTTTCTGTTATGTTGGCGTGTTGTGTTCGGACTGCTGTCGTTATAATAATTGTATCTGGTTGAAAGTGAGTCTGAAATGAAGATCTTGTTGTCGTCTCTTCTGTGTGTCTCTCAGTAAGACGGGGCTGGTGTCGTCGTCCTGGGAGCGTCAGTACTTCTTCACGCAGGGCGGTAATCTGATGCAGCAGGGCAGAGGCGAGGTGGCGGGCGGGCTGGTCACGGACCTCGACAACTGTTCGGTCATGGCCGTCGACTGTGACGACCGCCGCTTCTGCTTCCAGGTCACTTCCTTTGATGGCAAGAAGTGAGAGGGCTCCCGCTTTTTACAACTCTTCTCTCCATTTTTTAAGTTTTCAGACTTGGAGTAAATGTGTAAATGCCGCTTGTACAACTTTGATTAAACGTCTTTTTTTCTGGTTTGTGTCAGAGTGGTGACGCTGCAGTCAGAGAGCAGGAAGGACTGCGAGGAGGTAAGAAGTCTCTCTGTCACATGACCTGCTCTGTATTGACTGTCAACTGTCCCGTTGTCTCCTCACACCGTCTCTCTGCTGCTTTCTCCCATCAGTGGATTTCCACCATCAACAACATCTCTAAAAGGATCTACCTGAGTGAGAACGCAGAGGTGTGTGTCCTACTTACCTCATTAACCTTTACTGACCTGGTCACAGGTCAAAGTCCAGCAGCTCTCTTTAGGCGTATCCATCCTGGTTTCAGACCTCTGATCTGTCCACCGATTTAAATCTGTCTGCTGTTGTGCTCATTGATGTTTCCCCCCAGTTAGAAGACACAGAGCAACATTCACATTTATGAGGACCTCATATTACCTGGCACTTCCACAGCCGCCGCAGATCCACTGTTAGTAGTAATTATAACAACATGACATGAATTGGTCTGATTAGTGTCTCAGTGGCCGCTGATAGAGGTCAAAGTTTGTGAGACTATTGTGGAAAAAGAGTCTGTGTGGCAGTCCTTAACACTGTAACGCTGCACTTATAGGGAAAGATAAAAGACCACTGTTAATCAGAGAGTTGACAGGAAGTTAGGAGAACAACATGCAACAAAGGTTATCAGGTAGACTTGAATTGTATCATAGTCGACACCTTAAGAGCAGATTAATGCCCATTGTTTATCAATAAATATATACAGTATGAAATAGGAGTGTGCTGACTGTACTGTCATCCTATTGCAGGAGCTGGCAGCCAGAGTGAACCAGTCAGCTCTTGAAGCCGTGACACCGTCGCCGTCCTTCCAGCAGAGACACGAGAGCATGAGACCCAGCAGGTGTGTGTGTGTGTGT